TCCCCAGACGGGAGCAGAGGGCAGAATCCCCTCCCTCGACCTGCTGGGGATGCAGCCCAGGACACGGCTGGCTTTCTGGGCTGCCAGCGCACGTTGCTGGCTCATGTGGAGCTTCTCGTCCCCCAACACCCCCAAGTCCTTCTCCTTCATCAAATGATTTTGATGCTGATGACTGTATCCAGAAATCTAAGGAAAACACTTCAGGTTCATACCGCATGCTTATCCAGAGGTGGATTTCCCTGTGCAATCACTTATCAGTTTTAAGGAGTCAGAACAAAAGTCTTTTATAGAACTTAACTCATTTAAAATCAGAGGCACAAAATCTAAACAGCCAGTGTGCTGCAGGAATAACAACGGGACACGCTGCTTTTGCCTCACAAGCACCGGTGGAGCAGCTCAGGCCTCAGAAATGATCTTGTCACTTCTCGGATTGAAGCTTCAGACCTAGACCAGGCTATTGTCAGAGACACTGAAACAAGCAGCGCCTGCTGCCGCACACAATCAGGAAGCTTCGATATCCAGAAGCTGCAGGAAATGCTGAGAGCAACACAGCTGATGGTTCCACCTCCACAGTCAGTGGTGAAGACCTGACCACCACCACAGGTCACAGCTACAGCACCAAGGGTGACGGCAACACTGAGCTCTTCTGGATGCTGAACATTTCACACGTGCTTTTTCCTAGTTTACCAAGATTTAGCTAGCCCTGCACGCAATCCTACATTGAAAACTTTCAACTCTTGCCATCTTCCGAAGCAAAAATGCCCCAAATCCTGGCAGAGGCATAACTTGCATGTGGATTTTTTTCACTCCCTAAAGGTCTGCTGGGTTACAAGGATTTTGCCTTCTTACTAGTTCCTCGGTGGGGAAAACTGTTCTCTGAAGCCAGAGATTAAAGTAATTTCAGTGAGTGCAATGAGTTGGGCCTACAGAAACAATAAATTGCCACCTCCCAGGAAGATGACTGCACACCTCCCTTTGTCCTGCTCATCCACAAGCAGTCACCCTTCCTCATCCTGTTCATTGAGTACAGCACCCCAAAATCCAGCGTCAGCAGGGAGGTGGACCAGATGACCTCCAGAGGTGCCTGTCAGCCCGTGCTACCACAGCTAGTCCAATGGAGGCCACCAAAATGGTGATGCGGCAGGAGAACATGGTGCAAAAGACAACACTGGGTTAACCGGACGCATCCAACCTGGAGGAGACTGAGGAGGGGATCTAAAATGTAGTCTTCAGCTAATTAATTAGTGATCTCAGGGATGCAGAGGGAAAGGACACAAGTGTAGCAAGGGAAATTCCAATTAGATATAAGGAAAAAATTCCTCACAATGAGAGCAGTCAAACACTGGACAAGGGACCAGAGTAGCTGTGGACTCTCCACCATTGGAGCTATTCAAAAGTCAACGAGGCAGGGCTGAGCCTAGCTTTGGGGTTGGCCCCTGCTTCGAGCAGCGACCTCCAGGCATCGCAGACCCCTCATGCGGAAGGGATCTCTGGAGGGCTCCAGTGCAACCTCCCACTCAAACCAGGGCCAACAAGAGCAGGTCGCTCAGAGCAATGTCCAGTCTGGGTTTGCACTCTCCAAAGAGTGGGATCCCACAGCCTCTCAGAGTACCTATTCTAGTATTTGATAACCCTCATAATGAACATCTTTTTTCCTTAGATCTATCAGAATTTCCCAGCTGTCCATCGCCCCTTGTCCTTCCAGTACATACCCTGAGAAGAATCTGGTTCCACCCCCTCTACATCTTCCCAGTATGCAGTTGTAGGCCAGCAGTAAGACCATCGCCGAGCCTACTTAGGGCTGAAGATGCTCACTCTCCTCAGCCTCTCCTCCTCCATTATATGCTCCAGCTCCCCACTCCGACCGCTCTGCTGGATGTTTGCCGAGCTTCCTGAGGCTCACGTCAGTCCATCTTCCCAACTCATCAAAGCGTCTCTGAACGGCGAACCGTGCTCTCCACCATACCGACTGCTCTCCCACATCTGGCATGGTCTACAAACCTGGCGAGCGTGCGCTCTGCTCCCTCACCCAGGTCATTAACAGCGATGTTAAATAGACCTCGCCCCTGTGCATGGATTGGGGGGTTAACACAAACCGCTGGCAGAGCTGTGGGAGCAGCAACTTGCAGCTGAGGGACAGGAGGACTGCTGGGAAAGGTGAACGACCTGAATTTCCACAGCTGTCTGCAAAATAACAACCTGGCCACAACCACACATGTTTTGTCAGTACTGAGCATGTCATATCAAGCAACTCTGGATTCTGTTATGCCCTTTCTGTGCTTGAGGCCATAAAGGAAGGCCTTAACACGCCAGCTTACATACCACAGAAACTTGGAAAAAAAAGTATTTCTGTGTTTTTTAAAAAACTAGCCTCTGGAGATGGTTCTCAGTTGCTCCACCATGTTGGTTCTCAGCCACTGGTATATTTACATCTGAATAAAACCACTTTGTCGCCAAGAAACATGCCTGTTGCCAGAGTATAGCGGAGATGTGTGTCAGCTCCTCTACTATTGAACGATTTCCTCCCACATACGTACCGGCTGTTCGCAGTAGCCTTGGCTTTAACTACAGCAGCTACCTGAGGAGTTAGGAAGGAGGAAAGTTCATCTGAACAATGGCAATCTGTACACAGCGTCCAGTGGGCTCGGGGTTACATGAGGCCTCGGAGGAAGATGCAAGACATGACAGGCTGCCTGATGGCAGCTAATAGGAAGGTTAGCTGAGAGTCCCGTATTTGGGGTTTTTTGTAGTTAAAAAAAAGAGTTTAATTTTCTGTAGAGGGGAAGAAACAAACCACTTCCATCCTGATGTGCAAGCCACCTCCCAAAGTACTGGATGCAGCACCTCTCAGCTCCTTAATGGCTACTTTTGAATGACCGAGGGGGTTTTTTTGTATTATTGGCTTTTAGTTTTCATGTTAGCATTTTCAAATTTGTGCAAAAAAATTTGGAATTACATGCAAATGCAATGGAGGAAAGAATAAACGGCATTTCTTGAAAGACTCAAGGGCAACAAAATAAGGGGAAGAACAAAAGGGAAATTTCTGG